TTCAATAATTCCTACACAAAACCATAAAGTATAGTACTTTATATGATCTGTGACAGTTCAGACTCCGCTCCAATCTCGGGGGGGAAGCGGGACAGATAGGGGGAGGAGGGGCGGGAGAGCAGAACTAATCATTTTTCTGTTTTGGCGTCACACCAAATAGCGGCACGATTAATGAGACAATTACAGCAATTATAAACCTGCCTCCAGAGCCCAAGAGGCAACAAGACAGTCGTGCAAAACACTGACACACACTCACGCCACATAAGCAGCAACTGAACGTAAACATGTGCACGGACACGAATATTGAGCAAAGCACAAATCCTCTCCAGATAAGGAGAAACTGCTTGAATGGTTTTAATTAAATGTCGCTTTGCTTCTGCATCACTGTTCAGCAGACTACAGTTCCTCCAAAGATTTGACTTATCACTTGAAATGAACCAAAAAAAAAAAAAAAAAAACATTCCAGTAAAACATAAAAACACACCACATGCACCCGAGTGTGATCCTGTTGATTGAATACTGGCCTTATGGGATATTCTGTGCAGTAAAGTCACTTGGAAAATGGACTTGCACACGCTGCTTCAAAGTGGTGCTTATATTTCTGAGTGAGATTTTACTGCATGTGTGCAGTTATGTGCATTTTTGCATTTGAGCACTGCTGCAAACAGCAAAGGGGATTATTAGCCAAAGCAAACACTCCATTAGCAGCGCAAATTGAGTGCAGTCCTCGGGGAGCTCTACATCAGCTCTGTGCCATACAATCTTATATCACCTCCTTACTCTAGCTCAGCACACAGCCGAAGAAAATCAGTGGAAAGGCACATTTCCTGCCTGCTTTCACTGTTATACATGTTCTTACAGTATTCAATTATGGCTAGAACGCTGCTCATTTTCTTGATTTTGTGCTAAATTTTGGACAGGAAGTAGCTGAGCGTTGTTACCAGAACATGCTTAGAGCTTAACATCTTATTGGACGTCTTTGCCTAAAACCTTGGCATTGAATGAACTGTATTTATTTAGCACCTTTCCTACCAACCAGGTTACTCAAAGTACCTTACAACACGATCTGTACCCTCATTCATCCATCCACACACTCATACAGCACCCTACAAAGCTAATCTGAACAAATCATTCTATAGAGACTAACTAGTGCTTTAGATCACATTCATACAATGATGAGGCACATTGGAGGTAAGAGGTTCAGCATCTTGCCCAGGGACACTTCAACATGTGAATGCATAGAAGTGGAATCAAACCTCTGACTCCTTCATTGGAGGATGACTGCTCTAACCACTGATCCACAGCCGCTTGAGTCAACAGCTGACGTTAACTTTTTGTACTTCTTCGAAGACGCATATATAATTGGATTTATGATAACTGGTTTCTTGCTTTTTGAATCGGCTGGTTACTGGTTTATCAACAAACAAGGAAGTCGTTGGCAACAAATTTGACCCTGGTCAGGCTGCGTGCCTTATGTGACGGTTTGCGCCGCGCCTCGAGCACCCAGACTCAACTGCTTTGCGAACTGAACGCTGGCAGGCTGGATCAGATCTCAGGGAATACTCTCAGGCACGGGCCAGCGGTGTGGCCACTTAATTTGGATGTTTGGGGTTCGTAAGGACCAGCAGAGACTCAAGGCGGACATAAATCAGTATAGTTCTGCCTGTTCCTAAAACAAATGTTGTTTATCTGAATTTGGTTCCCCGGCTGGCCTTGACAGGCCACCTTATCTCAATTTGCCTGGAGGCCCTGTAAATTTGATGATTTGTCTCCTTCCCTCCCACCAAGGAAGTCTGCGGACCTATCAGAGGGACGCGGCTGAATAAACATTGTGTCATCATTTCAAGACTCTTGGATCCTCTCTGGCTCCCTGAGTCGACGTTGGCACCCCTCGAGAGTGTTTATGGATCTCACCAGAGGGAACTGACTGATTGTACCATTCTTATCAGAACTCCCACAGTGCCTCTGGATTGTCCTTGGACACGCTCACCGCTCATGTCTCCCCTCCTCTGCAGAGTCTGCATCACATCTATGTGTGGGGTGTTTTTTTCAATCCCAGCCTCTCTGTCCTCGGCAAAGGAGCGAGAGGTTGATAGGATTTTTTTGGCCACTAAATCCGATACATGTGTCACTGCCATTACTTTTTGTCCGAAACAGGTCTCACTTGTAAATGAGTCTTTGAGGCTCAGTGCGATTTATCTGTGTAAATAAAAGTTGAATAAATGAATGAACTTCTGTTAGCAAAATATCTCAAAATACTGGGTACATGTTATTGAAACTCACATAATTGGCTGATGACAGGATGAATTTTGAAGCAAACTCACTTCAGGATGGTCGCTGCAGTTAATTAACCTTAGAAAGCACAAAAGCTGTAACAAAGTGATTTTTACAGAATTGAGCTAAAATAGCTGAGAAACATTCCAAACATACTTGGAGAACTAACAGAATGCATTTATGTTCATGATTTCACCTGGACAGCTATAAATCTGTCTTTTTGTAACACAAGTCGATCTTAGTTCAAAACTCTGGCATAAAAACATTTGTTCAATTAATTCTGGACCTTTGATCTATAATATATTGATTGTTACAAATTTATCTGCAGTAGCTCATGTCCCATTTTCTTATTTTTGTCTTCTTTTGATCTAAAATTATTTATAGTGTTTTCTGTATTCTTCGTCTCTTCTTCAGCGTTTTGTTTACATTTTATCTTTCCCATTTATTCTCTGTTTTTTTAAATGGACAGAGCATGTAACATGTGGCTGCTTGTGTTTATACTGAAGATGTGAATGAGTTTCTCCTTACGCTCAGATAAGACCAGTTAGTGTGTGTTTGTGTGCAAATTAGTCATTTGGCTCACGATTGGTTGTAGTCTGTTGAACTGATCGAGGCTGATTTAGTGTGTAAAGAGCTGCTTCCTCTCTGACTGAGGGATAACAAAGAGTATTATGGATGCTTGATTCAGAAGAGGCTGTTTGCAGGAAAGTCATCCGTCTGTGGTTATCTGACTTGAGCACTGCACACTTAGAATCTGCAAGAAACTCTGCAAAGTTTTTACATAACACACTAAAACATCCTTTATATTATGAATCATGACGAGAAGTTTGTGGTATTTTGTGTTTATTTCAGGAAATATTAAAGGAATAAGTTTGTGCACATGAAGTCTACAACCCTGTGCTCAAAAAGTATGATTTTACAGAATTATAGGTGAAAACTTTATCTTTTATACTGAGCAAAAATATCAACGCAACACTTTTGCTCCCATTTATCACAAACTCTTTCCACATACACAAAAGTCCTTTTTCTCTCGAATATTGTTCACAAATTAATCTTTCTATGTTGGTGAGCACTTCTCCTTTGTCAAAATAATCCACCCACCTCATAGGTGTGACGTATCAAGATGCTGATTAGACAGCATGATTATTGCACAGGTGTGCCTTAGGCTGACCACAACAAAGGGCCGCTCTTAAATGTGCAGTTTCATCTCACAGCATGAAGCCACAGATGTTGCAAGTTTTGGGGGAGCGTGCAGTAATCATGACTGCATGTAACCACACCAGCTGCAGTGTTTGTTGTTCATAACATAAGCCTGCTCATACCATAACCCCACCACCACAGTGGACCACTTGATTCACAACTTTGGACCTTGACATCAGCAAACTGCTCACCCACACAACACCATGAGTCTGCCATCTGCCCTGCACTGTGAAAACTGGGATTCATCCGTGAAGGGAACACCTCTCCAACGTGACACACGCCATCAAACGTGAACATTTGTCCACTCAAGACAGTTACGGCGATGAACTGCAGTCAGGCGGAGACCCCGATGAGGACGACAAGCATGCAGATGAGCTTCCCTGAGACGGTGTCTGACAGTTTGTGCATGTTATGTAAACCAACTGTAGCAGCAGCTGTCCTGGTGCGTCTCAGATGATCTTGGAGGTGAAGATGCTGGATGTGGAGGTCCTGGGCTGGGGAGGTTACATGGACATTCCTGCAGTCAGCATGATTATTGCACGCTCCCTTAAAACTAGTGACATCTGTGGCTTCACGCCGCGTGAGATGAAACTGCACATTTTAGAGCGGCCTTTTGTTGTGGGCAGCCTAAGGCACGCCTGTGCAGAAATCCTGCTCTCTAATCAGCTTCTTGATACGCCACACCTGAGAGGTGGATGGATTATCTCAGAGAAGTGCTCACCAACACATTAATTTGTGAACAATATTTGATAGAAAAAGGTCTTTTGTGTAAATAAAAAAAGTTTTAGATCTTTGAGTTCAGCTCATTAAAAATGGGCGCAAAAACAAAAGTGTTGCATTTACACATTTGTTCAGTATAATATGATACTAATTAACATTAACAAATGGTTATTAATGGTTTATTAAATAAAACTTGTCCTTTTTAAAAAGCCAATGTGCTTTAAAGTTTTTTTTTTAAGATTTAACATTGTAACAACTAAAATGAGAGTAAGGTTTGATTCTTCAGACAAATACAACAAATAAATACATCTATTTAAATTGAACGAAACTGCATCGTGTAACGAACTCATTCTGAACACTTCGAGCACAATCTGAGAGCAGATTGGATTTCTGTGTGGAAACAACCCTGAAAGGGTTAAAGTTTTAATCCTTTCTTTTTAAAATCACTCATTCTGCTCACTTGTTGTTTGGACAGTGACCCATAAAAGATGCTTCAGTTTCTGTTTCATATAAACAAAACAGAGTTGACGTCTCTTGAGAATAACAGCAGAAAGGTGATTTTTGGCTCCAAATGCTTTTGTTTGTTCTGAGACGTTTCGCAGCAAAAACCCGCAGAGCTGCTGCGAGTCCAACGTGCCAAAACAAGCCAACTTCTTTTTAATCAAATCTCCTTTCTCCAAAACATAAAAATCTGAATCAATTTTGTTTTTTACCTTTTAACATCCTTTATGTCTTGAAAGCAAAAATCAAACCATAAGGTTCCCGTGAAACAAACACCCTGAAGCTGCAGCTGTCGTCTCTTCCAGATGTTCTCCCAGCCGCTGTGAGCACGGCGGCCGCTGCACTCAGTCCTGGACCAACTTCCACTGCAACTGCTCCGACAGCGGCTACAGCGGCGCCACCTGCCACAGCTGTGAGTCACACCATGAAAATGTTCAGCTCATTCAAGAGGTTGTGAAAACATTCGGTTATTGTAACATTTTTCTACATATTTTCAGGCTGGCATAGCCTGGGGGAGGGGTCTTTAAACCTGAGGTTGCGGGCACGAAACCAGGTTGCGTCAGGGAATCTGGCGTAAAACAAATAACCAAATCTTTCATGTGATTTCACTTCTGTACTCTTTGATACGGAGCCCCGGAGAGGACATTAGGGAATTTTTTTTACTTTTGCGTTCCCTTGCAATACTGTAGGCTACTGTATGTAGTGTTACCTCACAGGCAACAAACGTTCCTCCCTCAAAGAAACTGGTCCAGAGTTTTGTTTTGAAATCAGCCTTAAATATAAGAATATCCAGTGGGTGCTGCAGTGGTAAAATTAGTTTTACGTTGGATATTTCACATCCATGCTCCATGGATTCAGGGCTTCCTCGTTCAATCCGACGCAGATTCTGATTTCAGCTGCTCTCAGTCTGTCCTTCCTCTGAGGAACGATGGTTCTTTTAGGGACCGTCAACAAATTACCGGGCTAATGAGCTTGGTCTGAATCGTTATGCTATTTTAGATATATTTCCAGAGTATTTGTCAAAGCAGCACCGTGTATCATAAGTTTTCTCAGAATATTTCTGCATGGTAATAAATCATGAATTTTCTCACCATTTAAAATCCAAAAGAACAAGGTGGCGCACGCGTTTCAAAAGTGCTGTAACTTTCTTTTAAAGCATCAAAGTTCATTCAAGGATTCAAAGATTCAAGGTTCTTTATTTTGTCATTCGCGCCACTTTTGGTGCATGTGGTGGAACAAAATCGTGTACACAGCGTCCCAGTTACATCCAACAAAAGTATTGAAATGTCTGTAAAAAAGAGAAACAGTAATAAGACCTAAGATATGAACTAAGAAAAAGTAAGCACACACTTCCGGAGGGCTTCAGTCTGAGGAGTCCCAAGTAAACCGTTTTCCCCACTAAGCAGTTCACTCCTTCAGTGGACCAACCAGTTTGCTGGTTTTGCTGGTGACTATTGAAGCCCTCTGAATGGAGGGCGAAACGTCTTTCCACAAAAAAAGAAACTGTCCAGATGACCTGACTGACCGTTATTGTATTTTGTACGTGGATGATTGAGCATGAACTTTGATGCTTTAAAAGAAAGTTACAGCACTTTTGAAAGGCAAGTGCCACCTTGTTCTTTTGGATTTTAAATGGTGAGAGAATTCATAATTTATTACCAAGCAGGAATATACTGAGAAAACTTTAGTTATGATACATGGTGCTGCTTTGACAAATACTCTGAAAATAATTTGTTGACGGTCCCTAAGCGAACCATCGCTCCTCGGAGGGACAAACAGCAGCTGACTGACATCAGACTGTCTGCGTCTGCTCCAAGGAGGAATCCACCACTGAATCCACGGCGCACGAGCGTGAAATACCCAACATAAAACTAATTTTACCACTGCAGCACACACTGGATATGCTTATATTTAAGGCTGATTTCAAAATTCAGTTCAGTTTATTTATATAGCGCCAAGTCACAAACTCCATGAACCTCAAATACGGGTGTCTGTTCCGTTGTTGCTGTTGTCTGTGAGGTAACACTACAAAATCCCCCATGTCCCCTCCGGGGCTCCGTACTTTGACATTTAGCACAGGGTGATCCAATTTAGATTTAGTTTTTTTAATTGATTCTGATCGAGTTTCTGCTTTTTGTCTTATTCCGATTTAACACACAGTAATCTGATTTAATAAATTATTTCTGACTGAGTTTATGCTTTTTCGTTATTACTCCTTGAATTTGACACAACGTGATCTGATTTTAGTATTTTATTGTTTCTAATTATGTTTTGTGTTTTTATATTTTTATTCCATGTGCTGTAATTATATCTTTACTTATTTACTCTATACTTTTTATTTGATGCTGTGATCGTTGTGTTAAGCACTTTGGTAAAAGTTTCTGTTTTAAATGTGCTCTATAAATAAATCTGACTTGACTTGTTGTGGTGACCCCTGAAGAACGGAGCAGCTGGAAAAAACTTATCGGTACTATCTTTTCTAAATATTAAAATTTGAAATTGATGGAATGGCCTCTGGGTCGGGAGGAGACTTACCTCAGGTGGAGGAGTTAAAGTATCTGGACGTCTTGCTCAGGAGTGATGGAACAGAAGATGGATTGACAGATTGGGGTCTTGTCCTAAGTAATGAGGATGTTGCTTCGGTTCGTCGTGGTGAAAGAAAGTTGAGTCAAAAAGCAAAGCTCTTGATTTACTGGTCTGTCTGCGTGGTAACCCTCACCTGTGGTCATGAGGTTTGGGGGGGGGGGGGGGGGGGGGGGCTCTAAGTGGAGCTGCTCCTCTGCATCGACCTCCTGTTCGCCTCCCATTCTGGGCATGTCCCACTGGGAAGTGTCCCCGGGGAAGACCCAGAACTTTCTGCTGAGATTATGCACCTTCTCTGGTCTGGGAACACTTTGGGGTCCCACACAAAAACCTGGGAAGTGTCACTGGGGAGAGGGAGGTCTGGGTTTCTCTCCTGAACCCGTAGCTTCCATGACAGGACTACAGATGTTAAAGATGTTAGATTTATATATTGTTTTATTGATATTTTAAAGATTTTTATTGACATCATTTATGCCGCAGAATTTATTTTTCAACCAGTTTCAAATAAAATTGTATCAAGAACCTTTTGTTCTTTATAAAGCAAGACTTTAGTCACTTTCTTTTGAAGTGTAAGACAAAATAAATAAATAAATAAAACAATCTCGTCATTCTGTTCAGATTCTTTCACATTCAGCCCTAAAGACTGAAAAGTGGAGAGTTTGTGTTTTTCTGAGGGAACATGATGGACGTCAGTTCTCTGTGCCTCGAAGAAAAGATAAAAAAGATAAGAAGGTGCGTCGACTTTAAGATCAAGAATTGATGGGCAGGGAGACCCGTGGAGGAAGACGAGGGTTTGATGAAGTTTTATTTATTCAGCTTGTGTTTACACATCAGTCAACATTTTTATGTAGTGGTCTATCAAGGCTGCGTCTCTAAATGCACTGGTTATTTTCTTTTATTTTGTGCTTATAGCACGTTCATTTGTTGCTGACATGTCAGTATATAGCAACGATTCTCCTTTGAGCCATCTTCATCACTCGTGTGTGACGGATGTCCTTTGTGTGATTTTCCTCCCAGCTGTGCACGAACAGTCCTGTGAAGCGTACAAACACAACGGCAACACGTCAGGACATTTTTACATTGACGTGGACGGCAGCGGACCGATCAGGCCCCAGCTGGTCCACTGCAACATGACAGGTGGCACAAACTGTTTACTCCTCTTCCTCCCACCATTACTCACCGTGTTCCCTGCTCAGAACTACAAACAGTGATTCAGATCTGCTTCACTCTCCACCTCCCTTGTAGAAACACTTTGCATCTCCTGGTGCTTTAGCATCGTTAGCATGAAGCTGCAGCGACCTGGTGTCATTTTCTCTTCGTTAGAGTCAAAGCAGAGTCAACCACTTCCTGCTTCATGTCATGGTTTAAAGCTTTCCTCTTTTGCATCTTCCTCTTTGACACGTTCCCTCTCTGTCTATGCTGTTTTCAAATGTTGCACATTTGAATGTCACGTATGTGAACGTTCAGACTAGTAATCCAAAAATAATTTGCTCATTCATTCAACCTTTATTTATACAAGTTAGTCTCATTGAGCCTCGAGGACTCATTTACCAGAGACCTGTTTTAGACAAAGAACACAGATGAGGTACAAACAATAATAGAAAATCATATAAAAGCATATAAAATGAAAAGTAAATAGAATAAATTAAATAAAAAAATGGAAAAACAGCTACATTATAATAATCCAGCTAGAAAAATCTAATACGGGTTAAGTCAGGTCATCTGGAAGAATTAAGAATAAATGAATTAAAGTCCTGATTTGAACATTTTGTTTCTATCTTTCCGCCCGCAGAGCACAACACCTGGATGATAATCCAGCACAACAACTCAGAGCTGACCAGAGTTCGAACGTCCTCTGGCGTCGACCAACTTTCAGTCCACTTTAAATACTCGTCTGACGAAGAGCAACTTCTGGCCTCCATCAGCCAATCAGAGCACTGCGAGCAGGAGCTGTCTTACCTGTGCAGGAAGTCCCGCCTCCTCAACACTCCAGGTGAAGCGCCTTGTTTTAAACAGACAAAAAAATCAGCCTCCTATAGGAATGAATTTTGTAGTTTTTTTTTTTTTTTACTCCAACAGAAATTAAATTTTGTTACAATTAATGGGAAAAAAATCTTTATTTAAACATTTCATTCTTGTAA